TCTGGGCACATCTGTGTTATTGCCCTGTTGATTGTTGGCTTGTAATTGTTGATATATTCTATGGTAAAATATTTTCTTTTTCAGTATTGCTTGTGTACTCATATATTCCTAATCCTCCCTGATATAATTAAGGGAGTGCCTTAACTCCTTTGAGAGAAAGATGTCATCTTGTAAATTTAAAATAATACCAATAGCTTTTATATATATATTTTCCCAAAAAGTTCTATGACAGTTTATTTCCTTCCTTCCTTCCTTCCTTCCCTCCTTCCTTCCTTTCTTTTTTTATGGACACAGGGACTACCACTGAACTATATCCCCAGCGCCTTTTATTTCATTATTTTTTTAAGAATTTTTTTTTTTAACTTTTATTTTATGAGGTGTTGATACTGGAACCCAGTGCCTCACACTTGCTAGGCAGCCACAACCCCAGGCCCCTTTTGGTTTAATATTGAGACAGGGTGGCTACATTGCCCAGGCTGCTCTTGAACTTGTGATCCTTTTGCCTCCCTCTTCTGTGTTGGGATTACAAACAAGCACAGCTGTGCCTCTTTTTCTTTTCTTTTTTTTTTTTTTAAATAAAAGCATTGTTTTCTTTCCTCCTTTTGGTAAGGCCGAGGGCAGCTACTTTATAATTGCTTTCAACCTTGGTGTTAGGGTTTGGATGAGAGGTGTTTCCAAAAGCTCATGTGTGAGACACTGCAAGAACATTCAGCGGTGACATGATCGGGTTGTGACAGCCTTAACCCAATCAGTGAACTAATCCCCTGACAAGGATTAACTGGGTGGTAACTGAGGCTGGCTGCATCTGGACAGCCAGTCTCTGCCTCCCTCTGCCGCACTCTTCCACCATGATGATCCGCCTCACGGCAAGCCTCTAGGAAGGGAGCCTGCTGTCCAGGGACTGAGACATCTGGAACCATGAGACCTCCAATAAACCATCCCTCCTCTAAAATTCTTGTCAGGCCTTCTAAACCACTTGGGTGTGGTGAGGCCAATTTCTGAGGCCCATAAGCACGCCTTCTGGGGGCTTGGCTAGGCGCGCTGGGACCCCGCGGCGCGGTCAGGCAGCGCCGGCACGCACGCGCAGGCCGCACCTGCAAGTGCGCATGCGTCCAAACTGGGCGGGAAAAGTGCGGAGCAGCGGAGCATGAGTGAGGAGATGGCTGTGAGACAGGCTGCAGCGGTGTCTGGGAGGGACGAAGAGGCGGTGCTGCTCCTGGAGAGGGTCCATTATCGACATGACCCGCGCTGGCTGCTGCCCGTGTCCCCACGGCTCTGCCTGGCCTGCGCGCTGGAGCTGCTGCCGGAGCGCGGCGTGTCGGTGCGGGCTGATCCCTTCCCTGGGCACCAGGGCTTGGGCGTTTGCTGGCCTGGGGTGGCCGCTGACCCAGCCAGCTCCCGCGGCCCTGGTTGACCACCTCCTACCCAAGTCTGCCCACCCCGCCCTGCTTTGAAACACTTAACTTTTTTTTCTCTAGTTGTCAGTGGACCTTTATTTTATTTATTTGCGGTGCTGAGGATCGAACCCAGGGCCTCGCACACGCCAGGCAAGCGCTGTACCTCTCAGCCCCAGCCCAGCTTTAAAGCACTTTTAAAACGCATGCAGGTGCCCATGTGGAGCCGCAGCCCCTTTTCTAGAGCGTCCTCTGCCTGCTGGTGCTGTGCCCAGGAAGATTGGCCGGCGCACCCTGCGCCAGCCCTGCCCTCCGCCTGCCCTGCCCTCCGCCAGCCCTGTCCTCCGCCTGCCCTGCCCTCCACGGTTTACTCCTTCCCCGCCTTAGCTCGGGCTTCCTCCTATGTGGTCCCGGCTCCACCTTGTTCTCTTCAGCTATTTGAGGCCCTTGTGAGGGCTGGACCAACTGGCGGAAGTTCCAGCCAGTGGACAGGGTTGGTTCAATCGCAGGGCTCCTGGTTCCCTTAGTGCCTACCCACATTTGCGCTGAAAAAAATTTTTTTCCACTGGGAAATCCAAGAAGGGTGGGTGATCAATTCGCCGTCAAATTCATAGGAAGGGAATTCCTATCTTGGGGTGCAGTGGGGAGTAAATCAGCTGTCCTCAAATTTTTTGATCTTAGGATAGCCTTACAATTTTAATACTTGTTGAAAACTCCAAAGAGTTTTCATTTATATTCATAGTTACTGTATTTGAAATGAAAACAAAATTTAAAGATATGCATTCATTTAAAGTAACACTAAATTTATGTATTAAGGCAAGTACTTTTTGTATTCAACCTTTTTGAGTGTACAGGACTGTGGCATAAGTAATCGTATTTTATTTTTAGAGGAGAGAGAGATATATTTTATTTATTTATTTCTCAGTTCTCGGGGGACACAACATCTTTGTTTGTGGTGCTGAGGATCGAACCTGGGCCGCACGCATGCCAGGCGAGCGCACTACCGCTGGAGCCACATCCCCAGCCCCTATTTTATTTTTTATATATATATTTATTTTCAGTACTGGAGCTTGAACCCAAGGGTGTCTAACTCTGAGCTACGTGCCTCCCCCAAGCCCTGTTAATTTTTATTTTTAAGACAGGGCCTCACTAAGTTGCTGAGACTTGTCAATTTGTGATCCTCTTGCCTCAGCCTCCTGAGTTGCTGGGATTATAGGTGTGTGCCACTACACCTGACTGCATATATAATTTTTAAAAATATATACATATATATTTTTAGTTGTTGATGGACCTTTATTTTATTCATTTATTCGTATGCAGTGCTGAGAATCAAACCCAGTGCCTCACACATGCTAGGCAAGCCCTCTACCACTGAGCCACAACCCAGCACTGCATAAGTAATTTTTTTTTTTTTGAGAGAGAGAGAGAGAATTTTTTTTTAATATTTATTTTTCAGTTTTCGGTGGACACAACATCTTTGTTTGTATGTGGTGCTGAGGATCAAACCCGGCTGCATGCATGCGAGGCGAGCACGTTACCGCTTGAGCCACATCCCCAGCCCTGCATAAATAATTTTAAAAATAAAAACTATTTTGGCTGGTGGCCATCCACTCTTAGAACAAATCAAACTAGCTCATAACCCTGATTTCACTAAGGGCAGGATATCTGAGGCCTGCAGTTTTTGGACAGTGAATCAAAGATAAATAAGACTGTGCAGTAGGGGAGAAGATAAAACAATACTTTATAGAAAATATAGAAGAATGGACATGTTTGTTGTCAAGTACAGTGTAAGGTAGGGAGGGATGCCACTGGAAACACTTAGAGGAGGAAACTTTCAATTAGGCTTAAATAGATGGGTGAAGTTTGGAGATGGGAGACTTATCTCAGGAGGTAGGTAGCTATATTGTGTTAGAAGGGACATTGAAGAAGTTGAAATTAGGAGAGCCAGGTTGAGATTACTACTTTGAAGAGTTTGCATCTGAAGTAAGGAGCTTGAACTTAAATCTGTCAGTGAAGGGGAGTTATTAAGACTGTGTTTTGAGTAGCACATTTAGATCATTAGCTTAATCTGTAATGTAGGATGAGTTGGTAAAGCAAAAATAGGAGACTTAAAAGCATAAGTTAGAGGCAATGAGATATTCCTTCTCCACCTTTTATTGAGTTAGTTTGTTTATGTATTTCTTTATGTTTTGTAGTACTGAGGATTGGCTCCAAGGCCTTGCACATGTTAGGCAAGCATTCTACCACTGAGCTCTAGTGTTGGCCCTTTTTATTTTATTTTGAGACAGAGTCTGGTTAAGTTGCCAAGCCTGGACTTGAACTTGCAATCCTCTTACCCCAGCCTCCTGGAGTGTTTGGGCTCATGACACATATTACTGCTTATGGATTTGGGGATTGAACCCAGGACCTCATGCATCCCCAGCCCACAAAATGTACTTTTTTCTTAACTTCAGCTCTCACCAATTGAAGGAGTAATGTAGTCAATTGTACCACGTTCCTGTCCTATCCTTAGGGTTCATCTTTTTTTTTTTGTGGTGCTGGGGATCGAACCCAGGGCCTTGTGCATGCAAGGGAAGCACTCTAACAACTGAGCTATATCCCCAGCCCCATCTCTTTTTATTGACCTAACTATTTAGCATTTTGCATAGCTGCTACTCAGTTACCTGTACAGGGAAGGGACTTGAGGGTGAGAAGTTTATGCCTACATTGAATGGAAGGATGTTGTTTTCTGTACCTAGCTCTGGAAGCTTATGAGTGATCCTTGAGCAAGAACTGGTGAAGATTTAGTTTTGAGTCCTTGGGAAAGTCTAAGTCTTTGTTTTCTCATCTCTGAAATGGTGATAATATATTTTTTTTCTTGCTTCATTAACCTGTTAGGCT